AACATTTTTTCTTAAAAAATTAATTTTAATGAATGTTTACAGAGATTTTGTATTTCCATACATTCATTGTTGCACTTTTCTTTCTGTCCACCGCTCCTCCCAGTTCGCTCTTCTCTTTGAAAAGTAAAAGAAAAATAACTTCACTGGTATAGAATCCCCTCTTCCCGCCCTGAGCACACTCCACTATACAACTTTCATTCTGGACTCTTGTCATAACCATAATACCCAATCGTATATCTCTTGGTCTTTTTTAAAAGATAAAAGTATTTGCGTGTCTCTTAGTTTCAGTGATTTTCTTTCTGTGTCTGTTGGCCATCCAAATGTCTTCTTTTGTCTTTTTTTTTTTTTTTTTGTCTTTCCATATCTTTTGCCCATTTTGGAACTGGGTTACAGCCCATACATCCAAACACAACCAAATGGTTTGAGAAATGGTGGTATATTCAAACAATGGAATACTATGCAGCACTCAAGAGAAACGATTTTAAGAAATGCTATGTGGGAGAGTCTGGAAAACATTTTAATGAGTGAACTAGCTCAGTCTCTTAAGGAGAAATACTACATAAGACTGTTACTGTAAAAATAAAGGATAACTAGTAAAATATGTATGGAGATCCAAAGGGGAAGGAGTCAGAACAGAAATGTGAGGATGGGTAGGCGTGAAATCACAGGGTTGCACAATCTGGTAGGTAGAGGGAAGGGATAGAGGAAATAGGAAAGATATGCTAACAACCTGAAAAGACAGGCTAATGGCTCAATGATGATTGGTTTTATATAGCATAATGCATGGAAATGATTGTGTGAAACTCTGCTACTTTTTGCTTTCAGACAACATCCATCTGACATTGGAAATAATGTCTCCAGTACCATGACCTCTTCAAAACCCAGCTTGTATTTCTTATAGTTCTCTGTTAATTTACAATTCCAGACATTGTTTTATAATCTTCACCAGGATTTTGCTTGCATGTGATATTGAACAATAATTTCCATACTCTGTCAGATCACTTTTTTTTTTAAGGGGAATAAATATGAATCTCTTCCAGTCAGTAGGCCAGATAGTTGTCTTCTAGATTTTTTGGCAGAACCTGGCAAGCATGTTCAGGGAAGCATCTGTTTGTTGAAAATATGTCATTTGGTATTCCATTAATTCCTGGGGTTTTGTTTTTTGCCATTTTTTTAGAGCATCTTAAACTTTATCCTTCATCACCATTTTTCTGTGATCATATGTTCTACCATGAAATTCTTAACTGTTGTTGTTGTTGTTGTTGT